ACCTCAACACTAATTTTTAGAAAACCAAAGTGAAAAAAAAAATTCTTAATACAACTTCTTCATTATGTGAAATCTAAACTTAGAGACCACCTTCTCTACTATTCTTTTAGGGTAACTCCATCTAGAAAGAGGCCCCTTTGACCAGGAGCAGCAGCTTGGAGCTAGTTCTCCTTAACTACAAAAATGCCTTCCTGTCCACCCCCCAATAAAAACTTGCATGCAGGGTTCAGTCATGACAAAAACACTCAAACCCACAAGTCTGGAGTGTGGGGGGAAATATGCAAAGGAGCAGGCATGGAGTGGGGCAGAGCACAGGGTCCTGTGAGTGGCTCCACTGCTTGCTCTGTACAAAGGCATCCAGCAAACAAGCAGAGTCAAGGCTGAAATCCAGTGTGTCCTCTGCCCATCTGCCTCCAACTCTTAGAGGGGACTGAGCCTGCCTCGACGAGGCAGCACTTTGATCTTTGCAAAGACATAGTCTGCATCCACCTAGGGGTGGTGGCATTCTTCCACTTCATACAATAGCCCTGCACTATGCCACAGGACTCTGGGCAAGCTGCCCCTCAACTCAGCACTGCTAGGTCCTCCCTGACACGCTGGCCCCTCTAAACACACCAGCCAGGCAGAAAAGGGAGAAGAGGGGAGAGAACACACATCTAACCAGACCCCAGACACATGATCAAGGTGCAGATGCTGAGGGTGACGTGTGTGGACATTGGGGAGGAGAGGCAAAGATCTTCCCAGGAGTGGCCCCCTAGGTACCAGCAATATATATATATGGCTTCCTAGGTGGGTCTGATGAATGGTAAGTGAGAACTGGAAGACAGACGCATGGGAACTCTGGGCCAGGGCTTTGCTGCATCTTTACTGGATAACCACAGTTGGCCTCCCCTGTGTTACTAAGAGAGGCACAGGTACAATCATTTTCATAAAAGTAATTTAAAGGGGGACCCGGCTCCTTGAGAAACTGCCTCAGAGATTCTGCAGGCAGCTGGGCATGTCAGGGCCTGGGACTGAAAGGCCTGAACACTAACCTTTTTGTGGCCTTAACTGAATATTTGTCCCCTGTGCACTTTAGACTTACATACTGCATTAAATGAGACGAAAATCTACCCTAAACAGCTGAGCAGAATATTGCAACATGATAGCCACTGACCAAGAGCATGGACATTCCTGGCTCAGCAGCCAGCTGACATGATACTCTTTCCACCATCATTAATACACGTGCACATGAAACCTCCAGTCAAGCCCATCTCTTTGTGTCACTCACCAATGCTTGGTTTCCTACGAACTCTATAGAGAGAGTGAATATCAGAAACTCAGGACATGTTAAAAATCCATTTTTGATTTCTTGGAGTGATGTTATCAAGATGGCGGAACACACAATCCCTGGCATCCCTCCCCCCGAACAACTGAACAACTTACAACTACTAAAACACAAAAACAGCCGTCCTGAGATTGCTGGAGCTCAGGGGAAGAGGAGAGACCAATGGAGTTTGTGAACACGTGAAAGGCTGTGGCAAGAGGAAGGAGGGACCATTCTGACCATTCCAAGCCCCAGTCTCTTCTGCGGCCGGCTTGGTACAAGATGAGGAGCAGCTGCCAGCACACAGAGTAGCTACCAGATGGCAAAGCCATAGTGGTGCCCTTTGCATGAAACTACTTGGAGTCTGCAGCACAGAAGGGTGATTTGGAGTGCACCATCCCATCTCCCAGGACAGCAAAACCATTCGCAAGCTTCCCCTGGACCTGCACAGGAGTGAGGGGCCACAGCCAATAGGAACCACCCATAGTTTGATGAGTCTTTGTGAGGGACTTGTGCATGGCCCACCCCATGGGAAACATATGGAGTGCTGGGGAAGACTGGCCCAACAAGGAGCACGGGGATACAGCACAGGCAGCTAATCTGCCTTCTGACTGGCACAGGCACCACACACTGGAGACTGGCCAGGGTGATACAACTGTAGAGGGCAGTTTGCAGGAAAGACTCAGTCAAGGGTGGGAATTTCCACACAGACCAGTTGTGTCTGTGGTGACCCCAAAATCCAATCCACACAGAGAGCTTTCCCTACTCAGAAAAAGCGGCTATTGGGGCCGGCCCGGTGGCGCACGGCTACAGTGCGCCGCTTGGGAGTGCGGTGGCGCTCCCGCCGAGGGTTCGGATCCCACGTACAGACCGGGTCCCGCTCACTGGCTGAGCGAGGTGCAGAAGCAACACCGAGGGTTGCGATCCCGTTGCCGGTCCTGGTCCGGTACGGGCGCGACACTGAGGGTTGCAATCCGTTGCCGGACACGAAAAAAGGGAAAAAAAAAAAAAGAAAAAGCGGCTATTTAGCTCAGGCATAGAGTTCAAGTTCTGGTCCCTACAGGAAGTTTCCCCCAGTTCAGGAATTAACCATGGGATGACAAATTAGTTCCAGTGCAGACTTTAAATAGTGGTGGTAAGTTGTTAATTCACTGCAGAACAGGGAAAAAAACCCCAAACAAAACCAACAGACCAGAGACAAAGCTATGATATTAACCAGTAAAGGTCTAACACCACCAAAGAACACCTATAAAATCTGGAAGAGGTAGTAGTCTCCTCAAATGCCCAGGCAGCAACACAAAGACACAAAGATTGAGAAATAAAGAAATATGACACTACCAAATGAATCAAAGTACCAGCAATGGACCCAGAAGAATATCAAATTTATGAAATGTCTGACAGATAATTCAGAATAACCCTCTTAAGGATGTTCAGGGAGTCACATGAAAATACAGATAGAAAAAAATGATATCTGGAAAACAATTCAGGAGCACTACGAAAAACTTGACAAAAGGATAGAATAAATTTTTAAAAACCAAATAGAAATTCTAGAAATAAAGGATACATTATCTGAACTGAAAAACTCAATAGCTTCAACAGCAGACTTGATCAAACACAGGAAAGAACTGAACTTGAAGACAGAACACAAGAAATTAACCAATCAGAGGAGCAATAAGAAAAAATGAAACAGAAATGCAGTAATTATGGAAATCCCTCAAGCAAACTAACCTCCACATAACTTGTGTATATTAAGGAAACAAAAAAGGAAGAAACCTAGAAAGCACACTAAAGGAAATAATGACTGAAAATTTCCCAAGTAAAATGAAAAGTGACAGAGTAATTACACCCAGGTTCAAAGGTTTGGATCCCTGTACCAGCCAGCCGTTAAAAATAAAAAGAAGAAAGGTGAGAGCATCCAGGTACAGGAAGCTCAGAGGTCACCAATCAAATTCAATCCAAAGAGGAACCCCTCAAGACACATCATAGTCAAATTACTACAAACCAGAGACAAAGAAATGTAGCTAAAGCAGCAAGAGGAAAGAAACACGTAACATTCAATGGAGTCCCAATACGTCTCTCAGCAGATTCCTCAGTAGAAACTCCGTATACAATTAGAGAATGGGATGATACATTTAGAGTGCTGAAGGAAAGAGACAGTCAACCAAGATTTCTGTATCCAGCAAAACTAACCTTTAAATATGAAGGAGAAATAGTCTCTCTCAGATAAGCAAAATCTAAGGGAATTCATCAATACCGGGCCTGCCTTACAAAAAAATGCTAGAGGGAGTTCTTCAGTCTGAAAGAAGATGACACTAAAGAGAAGCAAGAAAACATCTAAAGGTATAAAACTCATTAGTGAAGTAAGTACATAGACAACCTCAGAATACTCCGATGTTGTAAGAGATGTATTGGGACTCCACTGAATGTTACGTGTTTCTTTCCTCTTGCTGCTTTAGGTACATTTCTTTGTCTCTGGTTTTTAGTAATTTGACTATGATGTGTCTTGAGGGGTTCCTCTTTGGATTTTGACTATGATGTGTCTTGAGGGGTTCCTCTTTGGATTTTGACTATGATGTGTCTTGAGGGGTTCCTCTTTGGATTTTGACTATGATGTGTCTTGAGGGGTTCCTCTTTGGATTTTGACTATGATGTGTCTTGAGGGGTTCCTCTTTGGATTTTGACTATGATGTGTCTTGAGGGGTTCCTCTTTGGATTTTGACTATGATGTGTCTTGAGGGGTTCCTCTTTGGATTTTGACTATGATGTGTCTTGAGGGGTTCCTCTTTGGATTTTGACTATGATGTGTCTTGAGGGGTTCCTCTTTGGATTTTGACTATGATGTGTCTTGAGGGGTTCCTCTTTGGATTTTGACTATGATGTGTCTTGAGGGGTTCCTCTTTGGATTTTGACTATGATGTGTCTTGAGGGGTTCCTCTTTGGATTTTGACTATGATGTGTCTTGAGGGGTTCCTCTTTGGATTTTGACTATGATGTGTCTTGAGGGGTTCCTCTTTGGATTTTCTTTCGAGAAATGTCTGTTCAGGTACTTGGCCTAGTTTTTAATTGGGTATTTGTTTTTTTGCTGTCAAAAACAAATTTATTTATTTATTTATTCTGGATATTGGCCCATTATTACCAGAGGCTGGGAGCAGGAGGAGGAGTGGAAGGGAAATGTCTGTTCAGGTACTTGGCCTAGTTTTTAATTGGGTATTTGTTTTTTTGCTGTCAAAACCAAATTTATTTATTTATTTATTCTGGATATTGGCCCATTATTACCAGAGGCTGGGAGCAGGAGGAGGAGTGGAAGGCAGGAGAAGTGGTGGACTAATGGGTGCAAAACTATGTTATCTACCCTAAGTGAATCACTGTGTAGCATATGTATGTATTGAAATAACACATTGTACCCCACAAGTATGCACAAGTAAATGTTAAAAAAGTAAAAAGAATTTTTTAAAAATCCATTTTTTCTGTAAATCTCTCTCTGACCTTTGGTTTCCTCTGTGAATTTTTTCCTTATCACATTCACTCTGAAAACACCCCATGTGCTCACACAGCAGCCCCTGCTTCCCACATCTTCCTGCTGGAGGGAGCCTGTATAAAAGCATCAGTACAAGCTCCTCTGCGTCCTCTTGACACACCCACTGCGGGGGAAGCAGGGCTGGGGCTCAGGCTCTCTGCGCAGAGTGTTGCTCACCTTCACGTTGGGAGTATAGAGGTTCCTGAGAGAGGCGAGGGCGGCAGACAGGCCCTCGGTGCTGTAACCAATCCACAGGGCTTGCAGATGGCTTGAAGAGATCCCTGTCTTCTTACTGAGGCCCTGGAAACAATCAGAGAAAGATCCACCTGGGTGTCTCCTTTTCACCTGCAGCTCAGTTTGAAAGCAGGTCTGCCCAAGAGGGTGCAGATAGATGTGCTGAACTCATGGCAACTCGCACAAAGAACGCCTGGGTCCACGAGCCTTTCCTACCTAAAACCAAGGTCGAGGAATCAGCCAGCCTTTGCTGCATGAACTGTATGCCTAGGGAGGGAGATGGCAGATGAGGAGAAAGTTTCTTAATGGCTATAAATTAGAGGAAGAAAAAGTGATAGAATCAGGATATCCCTGTCTGCAACCCCTAACATGTGAATGTGTCTGGGAAGTGACCAGGACTGGCCGAAGGCACCATAAAATGAGGAGCAAGTACAAACGCTGTGCTTCCTTATGCACAGCAGACTTTCTTGAGAAACTCTCACTGCTGCAGAGTAATCTGAAACGCTGCAGGGGGATCAAACCCGAACCTCATAAAGCCTCTAGGCACAACTACCAATGACAGGAAATCCAGGGAAAGAGGAACATGTTAAACCACGCTGCCAGAAACAAGGCCACAATCAGAAGAGCCAGGCGGTGTGAAACTATAAAGTTTAAGGAACCCAGGTTCTTCAACAAATAAACAACGAGGAAACAAAAGGGAATAAATGAAGTGGAACCTTTAGATGAAAATAAACTTAAGTGTTTACTTTTAGGGAGGTGAGGAGGTTGTGTTTGGGGTGGGCCCGTGGAGGGCTTCTGAGATGGCTGGCAAAGATGTCAAAAATCTCCAGAACCAAAACTCAAAACGACAGAGAAGCCCTTCCTCAGGTGGGTATGTGTGCCTCACCTTGAAAATGTGTGCCTTCAGGATGTGATGGCCCAGCTCCATGGTCTGCTGGCGGTTCAGCTTGCCCTCCTGTCGAGAGAACATGAATGCCAGGAGCGCGTGTCCATTCCTAGGACAAGAAACACAAAGGCTCAGAGCAAAAGACCCCGTCACTCCATACCACAGGCCCTGGGGTGCACACTGCTGCCTAATCTCTGAACTGCTCTCTTGGAGCTCCAGCACCACCCCATGGAGTGGTGAGCAATAATCAAAAATAGGAAGGAAGAAGGGACAGAAGGAAGATAGCAGACCTTCTGAAGAACTGATCTAACAGCCACCATCACTCACTGAGAATATACTCCAACTCTTTATAGATAAGGAAGTAAGGCTTGGAGATTAAAATAATGTGCACACAGGAAATACACAAGAATTGGTGGAGTCAGAATTTGAATCCTGATCTGTAAGGCACCAAGATATTCACTATAAATTTCTATGTTTGCAAGTAACCTAGAAACAACTTAAAAGTCCAAGAATAAGAGTATGGTAAGGTACATTTTAATTTACCCACTAGTAGGTTTGCACAGCCTTGAACAAAGAAAATGAGATTTTTCTAAGATTTCTAACAGCTTGCTAGGGTTCCTGTGATGTGTTAAGCAAAAAACCATAAAACAAACAAAAAAAACCAGACAAGAATTCTGAGAGAGAAGACGAGTTGTATAATGTTTAAAATGCTATAGAAAGAGGCAGAAATGAAAAGTGAAGTGTCATTGTCTCTGAGTGTTAAAATTTTCTCTTTTCTCTATATGGGGGCAAAAATACAACTATTTGGGATGGTGGAAGAAATGCTACCAACTTTCAAGTCACCATGTATGTGAAACATTTTCCAGAAACACCCCTCCCCCCCTTTCCTGAAGTCCCACACGCAGGGTGGCTTCCTCCCAGCAGGTACTTCCTGCCTCACCCTCCTGAGTGGGAAACCCTCAAGAGCAGGGTCTTTGTCCCAGGAATGTCTCTATCTACCAGTTTTCTGCACATTAAGTAGGTTCTTAAAAACTTGCTGAATTGAGTCTAGTAGCTTCCTTCCAACATCATTCTACATATTCTGTCTGTTGAACGAAGCTCAGTACTACAGGGGTCTTGGAAAATTGCCGACTTGCACCACCCCATGATTGAGCGCCTTCTTATATCTTGTACCACTGGTGCCTCTTCTGTCCCCGCTTGGCCCAGGCCCAACCCCAGGGGACATCCCCACATCTGCTTGTAAGAACACAGCAGCACTCAAGAGCCTGCACCTGCTGGTGCTGACCCATCAGTCACCCCACTCTCAGCTCTGCCCAAAATGAAGCAAAGCTTAATGATGTCTACAGTCCACCTACTTCATCCTCAAACCCAGGAACAAACCTACATCCCCTGCGGAAGTCTTTTGACTTGTTTTTATATCTCTACAAATTCAACTCCAATCTATCTTCCTAGAAAATGATCTAACTTTTCCTAGGAAATCATCTGACTTAGCTAGATATGCCACATCACACATTGTACCTAGCTACTAAGATCTGGCCAAATAACCCAGATGTTACAGTTTATTGCCCCAAAGCAGGTTCAAAAGATAACAATAAACCTTTAGCTCAGTGTCACCTAAGAAAGCACCACCAGCCACAACACAGCTAGACCTATGAGGTCAAAGTTAAGTCAACATTAATGGGGAGGAAGGTGGTGGGAGGCTTATGACTGCTTATTAACCTCTTCATTTCTGGACTCCAGTGTGTGGCCAAGTGCCCACTACCGTCCTCTGGGGACAGTTTAGCAGCTTGCCAATCCCGGTACTGAAGTAGAGGGCAATTCTGACTCAAAGAGCAGAAGCCATTCAAGGCAGCAAAGATGCAGGCTGAGGCCAGGGCTAGGCAGAGCTTGAGCATACCCATATCTGAAAGCATCCGAACCCCCAAGTTCTTCCACCTCTCACCCTGTTATCAGGCCTCCTGACACATAGGCCTCCCCACCCCATACTGTGGTACCAGCAGCCTGCGCAATAAGAAGTGCACCCTGGCCTGGCCCTCCCTGTCTGTGACACTGAGCTGTACCACAAATACAAAACAAGGTGGCCAGATCTGATCACGGTGCTCCCCCTCTTGGCCCACAGACATGTTTGATCCCTAGACAAGTCACTACAAGTTCACAAGGTGGCAGAGGAGTGGCGGTGTTGAGGATCCCAGACAGTCCACCAACCCACAGGGGAACACCCTGCAGAGAAGGCCATGGTTCCCTGGAGTGGCTATCCCATGTCCCTACGTGGGACCCCTGTAGAAGCCAGGTGGTGGAGGGGACAGGGATCTGTGAGAACAGAAAGTAGAGAAATATCTCTCAGGCACTGCCCAGCTTCTCTTTCAGCCAGAAACACCAGAAGCCCTAAAATTCTAGCAATTAAAGGAAGGAAACTTTTCTACAGAAGTAGAAAGAATTTTTCACTGCTCTTCCTTCTAACAAAAAGGGGGGCCAGCTTCTCTTTCAGCCAGAAACACCAGAAGCCCTAAAATTCTAGCAATTAAAGGAAGGAAGCTTTTCTACAGAAGTAGAAAGAATTTTTCACTGCTCTTCCTTCTAACAAAAAGGGGGAAAAATAAGGAAATAAAGCAGCAAAACTGAATTATTCAATCTGGGTTGCCACTCCATTAAAAAACATGAGTCACGTTTGCAATCCTTTCCCCACTTGCACACAAGATTCCCTGCACAGAACTGACAGCAGCGGCCTGTCATACCTGGGCTCACACAGGAAGGCTGTGTTCTCACCATCTGCTCTCCAGACGAGCCACTCCCTGAAGGATGGGTGGCAGAACATGCGGGTTTTGTCTCGCCTCTTAATGAGGAAGCAGGAGAGGGCCTCCATCCTCTGCTGGAAGTCTTCCCATCCCTGCTCCCCTTGGATGTGGCCGGCATTAATCGCCTGAAAAATCTGCTCGTCCGTCATGGGGTGGAGGGAGGCGAGGGCCACGTTTAGGATTGGAAGTGCTCTCTCAAAGGCGGACTGGGTCATGAACTTCATGTTGCACTGCAGCAGGTAGAGCTCAGACAGAGACACGGGCACCACCTTATAGCTGGCGCTTTTGATGACCAAGTGTCCCCTCTGGAAGAGGTCCAGGGTGAGCTTGAGGTACAGGTAGGAGCCGAGACTCCGCAGCACCAGGTGGCTGCTCACTTTCCCAATGAGGGCAGCGTCGGCCTTGCCATTCAGGGAGATGTTGCCGAGGATGTCCTGGCTGCTGTGGACCCTGTGCTGGACATAGGAGTGCAGGTCGCTGTGAATGTCTTTGTTGTCTGGAAAGTCATCTAAGGAAAGCTTGACAAATGGCAGAGCGCTTATAATTTCCTGTGGGGAAAGAAAAAACCCCCAGTGTCACTCCAGAGATTCCTTTTTTATTTCAGCAGCATTTCAAACCAGATTCACTCGTTTTCTTTCAAGGAGGATTTTCATGGATTATAGGGCCTTATTGTTTTGTATTAAAACATGTAATAGGATAAGGTGAAGATAAAAAGCTTATGTGAAAGAAATCCTGATGGGAGATGGAATCAGTACAGGCTTTCCCGAGGCCCTCATTTGAGGACTCTGAGCCAACCGAGAAGTAAGAGCCCCAAGGAGACAGTGGCAATGAGGCCGGTACCAGGAAAGCGACAGTGGGACCCTGCAGGTGACCTAATACCCATAATCCTTACATTGTGCAACTGGTTGTATAACAAGGACAAACACAAACCAACACTGCACATCTAAGAACCCAGCCAGAGACTGAGATAAGAGGCATCCCTATTCGTGTGTCAGATAACAGGGCTGTGTAACCCAAGCAGGAAATGTGAGATGCCCCCAGGCTGTGTCCCGATGACAGCGTGCCATAACAAAGCTGCCTACTCCAGTACTTATTGCTTAAAAAATTTTTTTAAGGAAACTTTTAAACTGAAGTATAGCATACATACAGAAGTGCACAATCATAATTGTATGGTGTCATTAATTTTCATGTCAAATATACCTGTAACTGGAAGCCAGAAATGGAACATCACCAGCTCCCAGAAGCCCCATGTCCCCTTCCTGTCTGTCCCCTATTCCAAAGAAAAGCATATCCTGATACCTAACAGCAGAGAGCAGTTTGGCTGGTTGGTTCCTTAACTTCTCACTATAATTTCTGAAGTATTTAAGTACAAGTCCTCATTTGGTGTAACTGTAGGAAGAGGGCAGAGTACAATTATTCCCATCTTACATAGATGCTGACTGAACCTCTGAAAACTGACAGCCAGGAGGTGCAGCACAAAACTCCTGTCCCAGTGCTCTCTGCTGATGGCCGAATTATGCTTCGCGTGTAAAAAAATGGCTGAAAGGCAGATGAATCAAGCATCCACAAAAACAAACATCAACTTCGACTGAGGTCTGATTCCAGTTTTAATGAAGAAAAATAGCCCAAATGCTATTTTAAAATAAATATCATCATAAAAGGGCAAAACCTAAAAATCTAGTGTCTAAATGTCTTTAATGAAAGAGAGTAAGTGTAGAGGAAGCTGACGGTTGAGATATAATTTTAGGATTCAAATGAGGGGGAAGATGGAGAAAAAAAATGACTCTTCACCTTGCTGCAGATGTTACCTCGTGTTTAAGTGTTAGGCGAAAACAGACCTTTCAGAATGGGCCTTAAAAATCTCTCTCTCAACCCTCGTTTTTCCCTTCAAGAATAGCTTTAAATGCTAGAAGACCTGTTGGCCTTACACGTCATATGGCCCCACACACTTAATTGTGGTAAACTGAGGCTAGACACCACCATTCACGAAGGGCAGGCACAGTTCAATGCTAATAGGAAACTTACCTGACATCTTAATAAATATTCCTTGGGAGCTAACATGGTCAGGGTTTCACAAACCATTTGGGGCTCTGTGGACTAATTTTTCAAAATCCTAACATAGTTTTCAATTCAGCAACTAAATGGTTTACAACAGTTTGAGTTATTCATATTTATCACTGTATGATTGGAGTGTGGGGACTTGGAAAGAGATTTGAGAATTCTTTTGTTACCTGAAAATTTGCTCTTACAGTCACAATCAACTTCAACCAGGCAGGAAATTTAGAAATAATTTTGGTAATAAATGAAGAAAGCGTATCTCCATAATCGGGTTTATGAAACTCAGCTTCATTTAAGCCATCTATCAAAATAATGTATTCTTCTTCAGGAATTTTCTGCTCTAAAGGATAAAATAATTTTTTCAAATTAAGAAATTATACACTTCTATAAGATGGCACCACCCAGCATATTTTAATGCACAGTTTAAAGTGTTACGAAAACCTAAAAAGGTTTACATATGGCAGAAGAAATGGTTTTCACAGGAGCATAATTTCTATTAAATTTATAATGAAAACTGTAGTATAGAGCCAAAAGAAAACCAATTCTCACAAAACAGTTTTCAGAAACATACTGCGTTACATACATTAGCAGAATCTTACCCATGTATATAATGCAGTTAGTTCTTCATAAACCATTGTCACTGGGGTGGGCTACAGCAAATATAACTAACACACACAGATACCAAATCTGGAAAAGATGCTAGGTCCTCCATCAGAACTCCTGAGTGAACAGGTAAGGAAAAGTGTTCCCCCCGCCACGGTCCCCAGGCTGTTTGGCCCAAGCCACACCGCAGTGAGACTCCTAGAACAGGGCTCTTTCCCATGAGCTTAAATCTAGTTTTCTATTTACTAGTGCCAACATTCTGCCCAGGGAACAGCGGAGAAATGATAACATATCTGTTTCAATCCCTCTCTCTAGCACCTTCTGGCAGAAGTAGGCAGGTAAACTGGCTCAAAAGTTAAGGTGCAAAGGGGAGGAAGGATGGAAAACTGAAGAGCACATAATGTCATTTACATCCCCTATTTTGCAGAATACTCAGGGGCAAAAAAAAAAATCAAATGGAAACCTCTAGAAATAGCTTTAGGTTTCAACTCAACTGAGCAGGGGTCCTGAAAAAAAAAACACATGCTGGAAAATTTCCCAAACAATCCACTCATCCCCTTGCTTCCTAGGAGTGTAAAATATACAGGCAACAGTTTTCTAGGGTGCAAAAGTCTCCTAAATAGCCTACAGTTACAAATCGTCTACTTTGGAACTTTTCAACTGTAGAGTTCATTCTTATTAGAGATGTTTCATTTACAACTATACCACTGAGGGTAGGGAGGGACCCCCGGAAGATGGTGGGCTGCCTGTAGATACCGTTTCTCAGGTTGGTGAGTGGCTCCAGCACTCCCCTCTTGAAAGCTGCCACTGGGTCCTGCACACAGGACCTGAGGCTCAGCATGCTCTGCAGCTGTGGCTCCTTGATGAGAAGGTCTCTGTAGGCGGCCAGCTGATGGGACCGGCAGAGCAGAGCCGCGATGCTGTGCACGAACTCGGGCACCAGGCACGTGTAGGTATTATCGGCCTGGCAGTAGTGGTAGGCCACCACCTGCGGGAAAGCAGAGCCGTCAACATCCCCTTGCCCTCTTCACACAGCTCATCCTACCACCTCAAACAGGAACTCAACTCTGCCAGCTCCCCAACATAACAAGATATATTTAGGTATTATCGGCCTGGCAGTAGTGGTAGGCCACCACCTGCGGGAAAGCAGAGCCGTCAACGTCCCCTTGCCCTCTTCACACAGCTCATCCTACCACCTCAAACAGGAACTCAACTCTGCCAGCTCCCCAACATAACAAGATATATCGCTTCTGCTCCCGAAGACTAAGTCATTAGCGTGACTCATTCACTCCTTCCTTCATTCGTGCAGTTTGCCAAGTTCTCAGCACACCTTCAATTGCATCCAAAGATACAAAAATCAGCACAAGTTACTCTCTGTTGAATGTAAATTAATAAAAGTCATTCATAAAACCTAAAGCCTTCCTGGCTTAAAGCAATTCCAAACAATCCCAATATTCTTGACATCAAAAAGTGTCATCTTTACTACATTTCAGTAAGTATGAGGTAAGGGAAGCAAAAAAGGGCAAAACACACTTGTGTAAAGTACTCAGAGTCACTGCCAGCCCATGCAGCTCTGCAACCCCCACGGTAAGCAGGTCAGGAACCAGCAGCCATGGCTCATAGCTGAGGGCAACAGACCCAGAGGTTAAATGCCTTGCCACGATGACAGGGAGAGCCAACCAAAGACCTGGGATGAGATTCCCAGTCTGTAGACTCTTAAAAAGCAAGTGGCAAGAGCAGATGTGCAGCAGCTTTTCTCAGTCCAGCTTGGAACCACAATGTGACTTCTGGTTGCGATTAAATTTATCATCAACACTCAGAGAAAAGCTGACTGCTCTTCAACTCTCACCTGGACAGAGATTAGCAGGAACATACGTGAGGACTTGTGAGCTTGTGCAAACCACCAGGAGACATCCAGTACCACGGTCTCCCATAGTGTTTGACATAAGCAGATTGGCAACCCAATAGTGGGCATGAAGTCAATTTGGAGCCACAAAGAGGTTTCTGTTTGTTTTAAATAAAGTGAATTTAAATTACCAGTGTGTATCACAGGATGTAAGACTAGGCATAGTTCTATAATGCTTTCGGTTTGGTTACAGGTGCGATTACATGGGCATGGGTGCTAGATCTCTAGCATAAGACGTATTTCTACTGTGGGTCACAGTCAAAGGGTCTTGAAAAATCACCACAGCTTTGAAGTCTGCCCTACATCCCTCATCTGAGATCACCTGTTCATGACCAGAGGACTGTTCTGAGTCAGTGGTCAGAGCATCGGGGCTGACCATGCCAAGAGCAGCTGTCATCTGGGAAGCAGAAGAGAGGGGCAGGGGTCTGGGGCACAGCAGTCTGCATTTCAGTTCCCCTGCACCAACTTCACCCCCGGGGGTTTCCTCACAAGGTGCCTTTCATCACTGCCTATCTCTGGCATTTCTCTAGCTCCACCAACTCACACCACTGCTGCCAAGAGAGATGTAAGCAGCTCACCAGGGGGAGAGATATGGTGCACTTTCAGCCACTTTCAGCCACTTTCTGGCTTATGACCAGTGATGGATGCTGAGCAGAAGGAAAAATTCAGAAGAAGCTCAATGACCATGAATTTAGGAAGGGAAAGGCAGCCAACTCTCCTTTATGACCTTGCAAGAACCCTGTGACCAAAAGATACAGGGAACCAAAGGCCCCAGGCAACAGAGCACAGGGAGGAGTGGTCTGGGTCGGGTTAAAAGCTCACTGTCTCCTGCTCACATAACAATTAAAGAGAGTGCGTGCTTATAAGGACAGATTTGGGGAGAACGCACATGGCATCTGCTGCTGCTTGTGAACTCTTCCAATCCATTATTTAACGTGGATAAAGGTCCACTGTCATTGTCTTAAGATGGATATTGAGTTCCACTCATGCCTTTTATGCGGAGCACTCTATCACAATTTTATCAAAAGCTATACTTCAGAAGTAAGCGATTGTCTCTGTTTCAAAATTCCTTTTCCAATGCACTTTTCAGAAACCAAACTAGCAAATCTCTATCTGGAAGGCTCCCATAAAGCAAGAGCAGATTACCTTAGAAGCAAGGTATTTCGCCGCATCCTCTCTTGGTCTCGGGTTTTCAGGAGTACCAGACCCAGCCCCAGCAGGCATTTTAGCCGCATTGGGGCCACTTGTAGAACTCGGTGAAAGCAAAGGGGTGAAAGGAAGGTCCTGGGCTGGATCTGAAGCTGCAGAGAAAAGACACATTTCATTATTTACATCGGCACAGCAACAGTGGGTTGTCGAATCTATTTCTTGATTAGTACCTATAGGTAACGAATGAACATGGACCAAAATTCAGAAGTCCGAATGAGAACACAAATCCCCCACCTCTGTCTCCCATCTGCCCAGTTCCCCTCCCTGAAGAACTTCTGTTTCTAGTTTCCTTTATTAATTTTTTGGGGGGTTAAAAAAAAGCTTGCATGGCTCACTTGTTCTTATTCACCACATTCAGAGACACTTTCTTCTTAATGGTTCTATTGCATATAATCAGTGAATAGTCAAAAAAAAATACTTGGTTATTCCCTCTAGCCCATGTCTGACTTAGTCTATACTTTTGGTAAATCCAGCATAGAAGACAAAAGCTGGGGTGAACAGGGTACAAAAGAATTCTGCATTAGACTCCATCTGGTTTGTTCTGCCAGGAGTCCAGCACCTTCATTTTAGGGCCCAAAATTCCCCAGGGCACTCACTGAGGCCTCACTGCCCTGTTTCTGCCTGCATAAAGAGGTGTGAACAGGGTACAAAAGAATTCTGCATTAGACTCCATCTGGTTTGTTCTGCCAGGAGTCCAACACCTTCATTTTAGGGCCCAAAATTCCCCAGGGCACTCACTGAGGCCTCACTGCCCTGTTTCTGCCTGCATAAAGAGGCAGACAGGCGTTACAGTTCAGGAGGACATGAGGGAGGGCTGGCCTCACCCCACATAGCTAGATACGCACTATGGTAGATGCAAGTGTTTAAATAGCTCACTTAACATGTTATCCCAAACCTGATATAGCAGCTGGAACAACGTGAGGAAAATTGGTAATTTATGTCTATCCAAACAGCAACTTCCTTCACCTATTTTATCAGTATAACGAACTAGACAATTACACACGGACATACTTCTGGGTGATGGGCCAGGACTGTTGGAAGCAATCTGCCTCATACGGCTTCCGTGGCAGCTAAGTGCCACCAACTTGGAAATGATTGCCGTCTTCCCAAATCCCACACTTCCAACAACAACCGCTCCTCGATTTTCTGCCAGTTCTGTGTTCCTCAAGTGTTCTTCTATCTGGTGAAAGAGCCAGTCCCTTCCCACAAACACAGAGTCTGTTGTTATGCTTGGTACTTCAAATAATAGGGGTTTCAACAAAATGTCTTGCGGCTTATAGGGAGCAAATCGTGCTTTAAAAAAAAAAAGAATTATTTTAGAAGAATGTCATAATTTTATACACTAAGAAATTCAAAGTATCACTGCTTGTGTTACACTCAGTATAATAGCCTTCAGTTTTACCCCACAAGGGATCTGTAAATATTTCTAATATAGTTCTATTGATACTTCTATAACACCTCATTTATCATACCTTATTGGTCCTACAAAGTGTCCTATTAAAGTGACTTTCTCATCCTTTCCTGCCTCTGACTTATTCTCATAACTCAAGATAGACACACAGGATTAGAGAAAGTGATGCAAGGGGACAAATCACATCTCATCAGTTTATGGTCTCGGATATTTAAGACATGTTTCTTCCACTACTATATAAATAATATGGAAATGAGTTTTCCCTAGAGACAGGGGCACAGCTTTCATCGGGGTATTAGGGTGCTCTGCCCATATGGTGGGGCTTCTGACCAAATGACTGTGTTACAGGCAGACGCAGAATGTGCTGATACAGCTCAAGGAACCAAAACAAAGCCGATTCTTTGTTAGTAGCACAAAATCTAGTGAGCGTTAAACTTCCCCTCACTTCAAAATAAATTCTTGCAGAATTATTTTCCAACTTCAGAAGCAAGTTAATCCCGTATTTTAAGGAAGAAGCCCAAAACTGTTAAAGATGGCTTCCTAGCACACCTAAGAGATACTTTTTTTTAAGCACATATACGCCTAACATTATGTTTTATAAACAGCTGGCTTAAATGCTGGTTATTACAGACTTTCGATATTTAGTGAACAAGTTCATCATATCTGTTGCCACAGAGGATGCAAAGATAAATACCTTTAACTTCCTGTGCCCTACCTCCAGCCGTATTGTGCCACGGTAATCTAATTGACGTTCGTAGAGGAGCATTTCTCTGCCCATCTAAATAACTCAGATCTTCCAATTTGGTTGAGCTTGTCGCTGTAATATTAAACTGAAGTTTAGTCTCACAGTTGAGTTTAATGTCATACCTAAACTACTATAAGTTGTAAATTATTATGCAATTCAGTTCAGGCTTTCAACAAAATCGCCGAGGGTTCAGATCCCATATAGAGACCGGTCCGCTCACTGGTTGAGCACGGTGCGGGTGTGACACAGAGGGTTGCGATCCCATTACTGGTCACGAAAAAAGACAAAAAAAAAAAGGAAAAAAAAAAATGCCCATGGGAGAAGAGTATTATAAGATAATACAAATCTTTCCATGAACTTTTTGAAGTACTCTCATACTCTACACACATAGCCGTCTGCCACTCAAATCTTTCTCATTAGAAAGATTCAGCTAATTCTTGAGGCAGGACTTCCAAATGGAGCTAATGTATGGAAATCCAATGGCAGCCTCTAGGTTCTCTCTGGGTCCTTCTTAACCAGGGTATGCGAAGCTTCCTGGAGGTCCAACAGGCTCTCAGGCTCCCGACAGTAACACAGCTTTGAACATACTTCTAGGCTCCTGCCTGAGACCTGGGACATGGACCTCTTTCCTTGGCATGCCTCATGGTGAACACACCCATCATGGCCCAGGTGGAAGGAGCAGCCATGGCTATAACCCACAACTCATTTCAGAGCCGGCACAGTCGTGAATGCCTGACATGCTGCTTCAGCGCTAGAGAATACAAAGGTGCGTACAGCTTCAGAAGGGTTTCCCATTTCCCCTCTTAGACCCCTGACACCCTTTAGAACGTAACATCAGTTTATAATTTTGTGACAACTGAAAGGATTAAAAATATGTGACTGTAAAAGGCATTCCAAATAAAGAATTGCAAAAATGCCCTAGTTTAACACAGATGCCTCTTCCCAGATTTCCAGTTTCTGGAGCTGCAGCTCCAAAGTACGTGATAGCTGCCTCAGCAACTCAATGGCTCTTGGCTGATTTTCTATTTCAAAATGATTAAGTCAAGCTGAAAGCTGCAGGAGGGCCACAAGCCACCAGCTGCCAGCCATGTCTGCTTTCTAAGGCATTTTCAAAGCTTGACTTGGGAGCAGTCGCGCTACAGCTGCTTAGACATGTGCCAGAGCAGGTGACTTGGACCATCCTGCCTCCTCAAGCACACCTATGGTAGATTCTCAGACATTACCAGTGCAAGAGTCAGACTCACTTCAGTATTTAACAATAAATGCTTTCAAAATCCCAAACACTACTCAGGGCCAAGAAAAATCAGAGGTAAAGCAATAATTTCATGCTGCAATAAATCTACTGCTAACATCTCTACAATTAAATTAATTATACACTTGTGGCACACACACACAATGTGTCTAACATCTGGGTGAGAAGCACAATTCAAGATACTGAAGGGAAGAGTTTTTTTTTTTTTTTTTTTTTTTTTTTTTTTGGAGGGTGGGGATAGGGTGGGGGGAGTGGCAGGGGAAGACTTCTCTAAGGTGAACAAAGAACATCTGCTAGAGCTGTGGACCAACCTGTCAAAAGTAAATGCCAGTAAGTCCAGGGAAATTACCAGTTAGAGTTTCAAGACAATTTGGTGGTAATTGTGTTTGCTGGTTTCCGGGGAAATTAAACACAGTGTTCTCAGAAACTATTTCAAAAGAAAAAAAAAGTAGAACCCATTACCCAACTTCTAGATTATCTAAGACATACTTTTTAAAGTCTTCATATTGTTTTTTAAGAAAGAAAAGGGGTCTGTGTTGTATATTTTTATATAATATACAGCATTCTGAATCAAATCCACTTGAACAATACCTTTACAAGAAAATCTCTGTGTAGTGAAATAATCTCCAAACTTAGATAATTTACTTTTATAATCTTTGACAAAAATTTTTCACTGCATTACACAGTTAACAGACAACTGCAGTTCTTTGTAGCTGGCTCAATGACAGTGAAGACTGGCAACCCCAGGAACCATTTCTGCACCCTAACCCCCCCTAAGAGGCTGGGTATCATCCTTCCTTCACTGGCCAGTCCTCACTCTGCCCGCATGCACCAAAACAGCTTTCCTACCAAATGGCAATCTATTTGTGTTTACATGGATCTTAACATGCAAATACTTCTAAGAGATTTCAGTATATGGTCCCGCACATATTATTTCAATCCTTGTAACATTGAGTGTCGCCTGCCTTCTACTCACTAAACAGTGCTGCAAATAGTCCATACAACCTGAATCTTACCCTTTTCAATGATACTTGAAAAATCTCGCCATTCCCTCTTAACTGAGGTTCAACTTTAGGTACAAGAAGGTGGGCAATGAAGAATCTACCAGACTCTCAGCTTGGTAACAGATATTATGAGGTTAAGGCATTTGCCAATTTCCTCAAAACATGCACTTAATTTTCAAAATATATAACATAGAAGAAATGAGCAAACCCATCAGAATAAGTAGACGGTGCTCAAACCCAGAGGTGACGCCTTCCTTCCCGTTCCACAGGAGGTCTACAGCTCACGGACACACGCAGAAGCTGATGAATGTGCACAGCAGACATCAGAAAGCTCTGCCCTATAATCACCGCAGTCTCCTGGAAAAGCTCAGCCCCTACGCACTGTCACTTCATATGGCAGGAGACCACATAAAAGAATATCAAGCAGAAAACGTCACCCCAAATGAGATGCTGTTAACACTGTTAAAATGAATGTATTAATGTCTCCTAACTTTAAATTAGCTTGATTAAATTGAATACCAGTTTGCTATTTTGTTGAAGTCATAAAGCTATCAAGTTCTGGGATAATACAAATGACTCATTTATCATAACTAGGTAAATAAGGTTGAAAATGCTTTGGGTGCAACATATTATTTTAAAGGTGACAGGACAGTGGTGGGAGGACACAAAAGCTTCTAGAAGAAACATCAGTCAATATACATAAAGTTCTCCAGTACTTCTCTGGCAGACATGCCAAATCCGTCTTCTGGAACAAAACCATTTTACTTCCTTTGAAAGTGAATTAGATGGAGTTGTGACTCAGAACCCTTTCATCAGGGCCATTTATTTATCAGCTGCTTCAGGGTTCCACTGTAGAAAATACCCAACAACTACCAGAGTGACCTAGCACCATCCTGAAGGAGCAGGATTTTTTTTTTTAATTAAAAAAAAACAGAAAAGTCCTTTGATGTAGGAAGAGACAATCTGGGTCCATGGTTAGTGGAAGAGAAATGATAAGTGCCAACTGAAAACAAAGAATGACTGTAACTAGTTCCTCTTCTAAATTCAGCCCAAGAGCATGGAGTCCTGAAATTTAAGACCTTACAAACAGGCACCACAGCTCAGATGCAGCTTTCCTTTCCCCACCCACCCCAAACTAGTCTCTTCACTTGAGGACCACCCACTGACCAGTCCAACTGTCAACATTCACGGGCATCTGTGCTCTCTTCTCTCAGGTCCAGCTGCTGCATCTTGCTGGGGGTGTGTCTGTCCTATTTTCATTTCCTGGATTGAGAGCTCTCACTTGCACTGCTTACGTTTTAAGCTGTGAGCTCCATTATAACTGAGTTACACAGAAATTCAACTGCCTGTCTGTATGATGGGCCTCAATTTCACTAAAATAAGCTTGAGGGTTGCATTAAAAATTCTCTGCACTGATATCAACAAACTTACTCTAAACAATGATTCCTCTGGCCGGCCACCACAAAAAAAAAAAAAAAAAAAAAAAAAAAAAAAAAAAAAAAAAAAAAAAAAAAAAAACAAGAAAAAAAAAGATTCCTGTTTACCAAAATGTAAAAGAAAGTCATGAATTTACTCAGGCTTAAAACAACAAAAACCAAGGGGAGAATTTTGGTACTTCTCTTATACACAAAGAGCCATATAGTCCATAGATTTAGTCCATACACATAGAGCCATATATCACAGATTTAAAGAATATCGGAGCGGAAGATCACTTAAAGACCATTAAGTGTAGCCTTATGGTGTAAACCGAGGCAAAGAAGAGGTAAAGTGCCCAACCCAAAATTACAAAGCTGGCTTGTGTCTGGATTAGATTCCCACATGAAGACAGTGAACACAGGGTACCTCAGACTCAGTGAGATAACCTTTCCATGGAGAGGCATGGCCTTACCTGCAACTGAGTTGGGCCGTGGCATTATTAGCGAGCTGGAGCTCTGAGAGTAAGGGACTGGACCATCTCCAGCTGAGGATTCCGCTTTGGGCAGCACGCTCTCCGCTGCCCCAGTGGTCTCCTCTTCTGCCACAGGGGAGCAGTTATCTGCCCTGCGATCATGCAGCACTCCTTTCTGAACCCCTAACCTTAGGCTTCGGTCTTTATTCCATTCCAAACTGGAGCCACTCCGGTCATCATTTTCGGATGAACTTGTAATTGTGGCTGAAATGAGAGACCAAAATACTTTGAAGGAGAGGCAGGCATAGCTGGGGCTGTTGAGAGTTAAAACACATACACACTGCCCTCCCCAGGATCAAAGGGAAGTTTTCTGGTCCATAGAGATTTTTATCAAAGTACATTTCACACAATGTATTTTGGCAAATTAGAAGAATGTTGCTTATCGGGGTAAATAAACTGCTAAGTCACTCTACAGGAAAGAAAAAATACTCTGATAGGAAGATAATGAAAAAGCGATCTAAAAGTGAGAATTAACAGTAAATCTATGCAATTTGGAGATAATGCATCCTCTCTTAACAAAGATGAATTGCTTGCAAAAGAATTCATATCTCATTAAATTCCTCTGAACCTTTAAATACCCTTCGCAAATTAACAACATTGGGCGGAGGGCAGGCCACACAATGGTTAATGCAGAAAAGAAGTGGGAGAAAATCTATAGTAACAGAAATACAATTACATAGTCAAGCAGAGAATCTGACCCTGAGAAAGTTTATAACATCTGTTCAAGATGATCCAAAGAGGCTGACAACTTATTCCTTCAGCATTATGGAAAGCCTCTATGGAAACAGCACAGAGAAAGTATCGGCATAGGAAAGCATGATCGCAGAATTAAAATTCAGCCTCTGAGAAAGAAAACCAGTGAAGAAAGGGTAGGAAAAATCTTTGGTAAACATCCTGCCAAAAGAGCAGGAGGAATGATTAAAGAAGGAAGCAATACTCACCCCACACAGCCTCTACAAACAGCCATTTCTAAACTTAAACACCAAGCTGAACGGGATCCCTTTGCAACCACAGGTCACCCAGGGCACTCACACTGCTCCACTGGCCTGTGTCCTTGAGAACAGGGACCATGTCCACTGATCCCTCTATGTTCCCTATTTGGATCCCAGCGTCCCAGGCCCTTAACTTTGAGCCTGTTAAACAGGAATGAGCCAGGCCACAGTGCATGCAGACCCAACCGTGTGGATGAAGCTGCTTCATCTGTACACCACGATGATGCACACGTATCAGTAGACTGGTGAACTAGCTCACAGTCAGTAGTTTAGAATCAAAAGGTGTTGTTTATTTGTACAAGGCTCTTTAAGGTCTAGAAGTAAAGACAAAATAATTTCCTTGCTGTGGCCAGAGACATCCTGTCACAACTGTAAGGCTGTCTTTGCTCCAGTAGCCTGGACTTAATGATCCTCCAGTTGTCTCCCTATTTAGAAGTCCCACCCGCATGCTGAAGCCTCCTTTAGAGTATCTATGACAGCTGATCTTTTTCTTTTCCGAACAGCATAGCACCTGGCCCATAGCAAGTGCTCAGTAAATGTTTGTTTATTGGATGAACGCAAAATGAACAATCTTCAATCCCACCTGCTGTCGGAGACACTACACTTAACCTCACGCTTATAGGCTCGGGACTGTCAGCATTAGATCTCTAACCAAAGCGTAAGCTGATCTGGGATGGGCTCCATCACCTTTTGGGTACCCACCATTATTACTCCCAGCATTTCCAAGTGTTCTGTCAGCTGTATTAACCCACACCTACATGTCTTTGGAATCAATCACAGCCTTCATCGTGTTTTTAAATGAATGATTTATATGAGCATAAGTATAGCAAGTATGACCTTTTGCATCATAAAAATACTGATGGTGCTTGTGGTAATAGCAATAGCTAACATTTATTGAAGGTTTACTATATGCCAGGGACTCTGCTAATGCTTTACAGGAATGGTAAATGAGTTTACATTATTTATTAATGAGTTTACTGCTTATTAATGGTAATTATTAATGGCAACCCTGTTAGTAAGCTGAAAGCATAAAAATACAGGCAGTCCTGTAACACAGATTGTGTTATGAACCTTCACTTATAAGCCCAGTGTTTGGAACTCAGAATGCTTTTCTGAGATACACTGTAAATAAGTTGGGTTCCCAGGCTATCCCAACATCTAAGTAAGACTTGGGATGAGATGATTTGCTTTTATTATTCTGGCTGTTTTTTGGGGGAGGAGTACATATTCTTAAGTAGAAAAATAAATAGAGAGTCAAAGTGATACTTTCCCTAATTTGCTCTCCCTAAGTGCCACACACTTCAGAATCAAACCCCCAAGGATCCCAGTCCTAACAAGCAGCAGAAACAGGGACTCAGACTACCCCACTTCCTATTACAAGTGACAACACTGAGAGCAGGACTTCAGGGTTCCAGGAAACAGATGGAAACATCTGGGAAAGCCTGGTCAGTGCTACTGGATTATTGTGGGACAGGCTGAAGGTCCAGTTCTCACTGGTGAGCAAGTGTCCTACACTGTACCCAGGATCTGATGGGTGGAAACATTAAAGCCCTGGCAGTGACAGGAAGGAAAATGGGTGGGGGAGGAAGGCCCCCAGCTGCAGAAACAGTAGCCAGGAAGAGAAGTCCCAGACAGGGGAGCCTTTTCAAAAAGAGGGTATTGTGAAGTCAGTGTTTATAAGCAGGAGACTCCAGTGAAGAGGCAGTCCTCCCGCTGTCCTCGGGAGTTCACTAAGAGAGGCGCTCCACCGTCTACACTCACCAGGGCTCAGAGGCAGGGAGGTGAGAAGCTCTGAGCCACGGGCCTTCCCACGAAGATGCCCCACCTCACAAACATTCCTCCCTGGGATCCAATACCAGACCCAGCCTATGCAGCTAGAAGTCCGGGCAGCATACCTCCATCTCAGCTCGGCTGTGACCACGCCCTGAAGCACGTCCAGAGAATACACAAAGGCACAGTAAGTCTGGTTTCCTCGCACAGCCTAAGAAGCACAGCAAATGGGCCAATCCCACAGTCTCTGAGAGAGAGAGAGAGAGAGCTGGTTCCTACAACAACCAACCAGCTACTCGAAAATATCCATTTT